GCGCTGGACCAGGCTCATTGAGGTTGCCTAGTGTTCTTTTCTGTCAGCCAACTTTTGTGCCTCCCAAGGAGGTTCCCGTTTGAGATGTGATCAAGTTTTTGTGAATCAAGTTTAAGACTTGCATTGTCTTATGTTTCGTCTAAACTAGTTTTTGTAAGATCTATATTTGTGGGTTTTGGTGACATAAGACTAATGTAATTATGACGTCACGTATTGTATATAAATATAATTTTTAAATTCCTATCCCATGTATGTCTGCACAGCTTAATGGACAATGTATGTTTTATATACTTGCTTCCGCAGCACCTTATTAGGTGTTAATCTGTTTAGAGGCCTTTGGTAATCCCAGGATTACTAGCCGGTTACGACACTGAACCTATCAGGGTAGGTTTGGGTCATGACAGGAGCAGTCATTGGGATCCTTACCAGTTCAGACTTCATACCAGTCACGTATTCGAGGACCACCTATTTTCTATACGTGTAATCAACCAGGTCATACTAAGCGTTTTTGTATATAACTGGGGACTTCTTTGGGTATTCCGCAATCTAGTCGGGTTCAGCCTTATCCGTCTGGGCAGAAGTGATACCAATACCAAAACTAAGTAGGCCAGACTTAGAGAGCCTTTGGAGGGTCGAACTTTTATCCTCAGACTGAGGAGATGCGTGTTTGTTTCAAGTGTGGCCAGTTGGGTCACGTCAGTAGCTCTTGTCCTTGGCATTATAGTTCTTGGAGGGTTCCGGGAGTTAAGAATAATCCAGCATAGCTCTTGTCCTTGTTTGGTTGGGAATGTGATAGTTGTGGTGGTAGAGGGATAGATGGGTTTGGTAATTAGTTTTGGTTGTCTTGTTTTGTGACTGGAGGACAAATGGTTGTAATTATTATGTAGTCTTTTTGTTTTGTAACCGGTACAGTGTGGACCGTTGGAGGGCAAATGATTTTTGTTTATGTATGTATATATGGTGGGTTGTTTATTTTATGAGTTGGATACGTTGTGATTTTGAGTTTTCCTTAATGTGATGAGTTGTTGTGGAATTTGGAAATTTTCATATTGACGTATATGAACTATTGCGTTTTGACTTAGGAATGTGATGACCGGAGAGCTTATTTTGACTTAGGGATTGTTTGCTATGTTAAATAATTTGTGTTTGGTTGAAATTGATTTAGAATGGGTGGACAGTAGAGTTGGTTGTGGAAGATGGGTATTTTGAGGATCATTATGATTAGTTAGAATATTGCGAGGGTGGAGTTATCCTAGTCAGTATGTTCGGTTTCATTGATAGTGGCTTATGTTAAAGGTATAAGTTTTAATTTATTGTAGTGGATGCTTCTTGGGACAGCAAGAGGTTTGTGTCTTATAGTGACAGGAGTAGTGTTGTGGTTGTTATCGGATGCATGTAGATTAGTGTGGGTAGTGAGCCTATCATGGACCTCATCGATCTTCGGTGTAGTGTGGTTGTATGTGATTTTGTATGTGATTATGTTGGTGGTGTATATTGTTCTGCGAAGGGGAATTGGGGGGTTTTGGCCCCAAGAGTTCACTTTAGACTTAAGAGGGTGTGGGAGAAGTTGTAGAACCCCATATAAGGGTGTTTGGTGTTGGAGTATTATTGTTTTGGTGCTAAGTGAGGAGAGTGATTGAACGAATAAAGTGTGAATCTAATGGGTTTGTCACGACCCAAACCTGCCCCTATAGGTTTAGTGTCATAACTGGCCAGTAATCCTTGGATTACCGAAGGCCTCTGACTTGATTAGCAAAATATAAGGGGCTAGCAGAAGCAACATAGAAACATACATAGTTCATTGAGTTGTGTAAACATACATGGGACATAAATTCGAAAACTTATAATATACATAGGTGTGACGTCATAAATACAGTAGTCTATGTCACTTTTGTTACAGATAAAGCAAAAGGGGACCGAGTCCAATATACAAATAAACAAGATACTTGTTCTGAATCCAAAAGTAAACAAAGCCTTTTACATTCACAAAATAGGACCACAAGACACTCGAAACCTCCTCGGGAGGCACAAAGCCTAGTTGACAAACAAAAACTCGAGATTATCAATTCTGAGTCTGGTCATGCGCCTGGTCACCTACATACATAAATAATAGAGTGAGCTGGAGCCCAGTGAATAATAATAGAGTAAAGGTTGTAATGAATGATGTCCAGAACAGATTCCACACCTTTTATCATATCAGATACATAATCATATTTGTATTAGAAACAAAATCATAGTCATATTCACATTCAAATCATGCATGGTACATCCATTAGCATTAACATATTCCTATGGTCAAGCGTATCAAGTTCCATAATGGCACCTTCGGTACGAGATAAGATATCTCACACATGGGCCACGGTATTATTCCCCTGGGCAAGGGCCTGGCCACGGTATTATTTCCCCGGACGAGGGCCACATGACCATAAGCCACATTACTATTTCCCTTGGGCGAGGGTCTCTGCTAAGGATACCACATAAACATGTCGAAGAAGTGGATCATCATTCATGTAATCACAACATATCCTTTTGTATCGTTAAAACAGTTCATATCATACCATAATGTTCAGAAAGTACTTTATAACGAACATAGCTTTACTAAGTTATTACTCACAATAATTGCACATATAGCTTTGGTAGTAACCAATAGATCAACAACTCACGGCGCGTAACCTACACAAACATATAACAGATTCACAGATTGAAACACACGCTTGGACAGTGCTTAACCTATTTCATTTTGTTCTTAGTGTGTTTCTAGCCCTTAACCTCATTATTATGTCTTAATCATGGCCTAGGAATGCCTAGGATGCAATGAGGATGCTAAAATGTACTTGAAAACACTTAAGCAAACATTCTGAAAATAGGGGCCTCGCTCGAGCGGGCATCCAAACATGTAAGAGGTAGCTCGAGCGCAACTTCCTTAGCTCAAGCAGTCTATAAACTCAACAAAAGTACTGGTTGTGTGAATTTTTCGCTCAACGATCGCTCGAGCGTGAGACTAAGGTCCTCGCTCGAGCGCAACTATTGTCACTCGAGCAGTCTGCAAAACATGAAAACTTCTAGGAGCATGCATTTTATGCTCGAGCCAACTTTTGGTCACTCGAGCGGGAGTGCCAAAGAAAGAGTGGTCGCTCGAGTGCAGGTCTTGTCGCTCGAGTAGTGAGCAGAATTATGGAATTTCTAGATTGCATTCCCAAGTTCAAAACTTTAAAATATACTCTTTGGGCCTCAAAACTTGAGAAAACATGTCTAAACTTGTCCAACATCATGAATTCAAAACCATTTTGCCAAATCAAGGCCCAAAGCTTGCCAATTACTCAAAATTCAACTTGAAACTTAAGAATATGATGTGAACATGACATGCATGAATTGTCATGACTTTTAACCTTTCAAATCATGACCTAACAAGGTTAAATGGAATGAAACTTCATGAATTTTCGAAACTAATGTGAAATAATAACATGCATGAGGAAAATTCTTAGAAACAACTTCAAAATGCATGAAATGCATGCATGCATGATTTAACTTAATTCCCTTAATTCTAGCTCAATTCTTGTAATTCATCTCCCAATTCCCATGAATGCTACTATTAGCTATTTCAAGTACATAATTAAAGGGTTGAGTCCTTACCTTAGCTTCTCAATTGAATGCTAGATAGCTAATTGTTTAAGTTTCCAAGCCAAAACCCCAAGTTCTTCTAATTTCCCACAATCCTCTAGTTGAATTCAACTCTTCCTTCTCTGTTTTTCTCTCTTATGTTTGAGCTTAAAAGATGAGGGAATGAGAGTGTAAAGTGTATGGGAAATGCTAGGGGTGGCCTTATATAGGCTTGATTAGGGAGTGTAATCAATGACTAATTAAGTGACATTAATTATTCTAATTGAATTCGTTCTGAATCGCATTTTAATTAAACCTACCATAAAATTCTAAAAATTCCAACTTACACATAATTCAAGTCAATTTCGTGATCGGATGCCGATAAGGCCTTCAATTCGTAGAACCAAACAAAAACACAAACAAATATTCCTATAGCAGACAAATATAAACCCACATAATGCAATGCACATGTAATTAACTCAAGATTTCATCTTAATTACTTGTTAGGAATACTTAATCATGGCTTAACAGTTAATCATGGGTCGGGATTGTTACAGTCTTCCCTCCTTAAAGAGTTTGGTCCTCCAAACTCAAATTACCTTCATTTGGAAGAACACCACATCCAACGAAAACAAGTCAGGGTATCTTTTCATCATATCTTCTTCGGTTTCCCAAGTTGCATAGGTCTCTTCATGGTTTTGCCAATCAACCTTTACCAGTGGGATTTCCTTGTTCCTCAGTCTTTTGATTCGGCAATTAACAATTTGTATCGGCCTCTCTTTATACGTATAGTCATCTTTCAGAAGCACATGAGTTGGTTCAATCACATGGAGTGGTTCTCGTAGATAGTCCCGAAGCATTGAGACATGAAAAACATTGTGCATATGTTCCGTGAAGGCTACCCAATACGTCACCGAATTGATCTTCTCAAGAATTTCAGACGGCCCAACATATCTCAGTGCTAGCTTGCCCTTTACACTAAACCGTGTCTGGCCTTTCATTGGAATCACTTTTATGAACACATGATCTCCGACCTCATATTCTCTGTCTCTTCTCCGGACATTTGCATAACTCTTTTGGTGGCTCTGTGCAATTTTCAAACGTTGTTGGATCAGTTTCACCTTTTTAGTTGTTTCTTGCACAAGTTCCAATCCCAACAATGGTCTATCACCTACCTCAGCCCAGCAAATCGGAGATCAGCACTTCCGACCGTATAGAGCTTCTTAAGGAGCCATTCCAAGACTTGAACAATAGCTTTTGTTATACACGAACTCGGCCAGAAGAAGATAAGTCTCCCAATTTCCTTAAAAATCCAACACACACATTCATAACATATCTTCCAAAGTTTGATTGGTTCGTTCAGATTAGCCGTCTGTCTGTAGGTGATAGGCAGTACTCAGTCACAGTTCCATGCCCAAAGCCAGCTGCAAACTTTGCCAGAATCTTGACGTGAACTTCGATTCTCTATCAGATACAATGAATATTGGCACACCATGTAATCTCACAATCTCATTCACATAAATGTTAGCTAACTTATCAGCATTATAAAAAGTTTTCACAGGTAAAAAATGGGCAGACTTAGTCAAATGGCCAACAATGACCCAAATAGAATCCATACCTCGAGAGGAGCGAGGTAATCCAACAATGAAGTCCATCATGATATGGTCCCACTTCCATTCCGGTATTGGAAGTGGTTGAATTAATCCAGCAAGTCGTTGATGTTTAGCTTTTACCTGTTGACAATGTAAGCATTTAGCCACAAAATCAGCAATGTTTTTCTTCATTCCCGGCCACCATAAATTTTGTTTCAAGTCATGGTACATTTTTGTATTCCTCGGATGCATAGCAAATTTTGAATTATGGGATTCAGTCATAACACATTTCCTCAAATTAGAACAATCCGGTACACAAAGTCTATTATGAAATTTCAGCACACCATTTTCAATCACAAATCCCGGCCTCGGTTTTGAGTTAATTTCGTCAATAACTCTCTTCAAAAACTCATCTTCAAGTTGTTTCTCCCTAATTTCTTCAATGATTGCAGACTAAGAAGAGATAGCGGCTAGAATTCCATCTTGTTCACGCAGAACTATCTCAATTTCATTCCTCTTTAAGTCACATAACAATTCTCTCTGGCCAATGAGTAAACATGACAAATTTCCAATAGATTTTTGGCTCAAGGCATCTGCGACTGTATTTGCCTTCCTTGGATGGTACAAAGTCTGTAGATCATAATCTTTAGTCAACTCTAACCATCTTCTCTGTCTCATATTCAGTTCTTTCTGAGTAAAGAAATATTTCAAACTTTTGTGGTCAGTGTACACCTCACAAGTCACACCATATAGATAATGATGCCAATTTTTTAATGCAAAAACCACAACTGCTAATTGAAGGTCATGAGTTGGGTAATTCTTTCCATGTGGGTGGAGTTGTCGAGAAGCATAGGCAATCACATTTCCATTTTGCATTAACACACACCCTAAGCCATTGTAGGAAGCCCGCTATAAATCTGAAGCCCATCAGTTCCGTTGGGCAATGTCAGAATTGGTGCAGTTACCAGTCTAGTTTTTAGTTCTTGAAAGGCTAATTCCCGTTGATCAGTCCAATCAAACGACACATTTTTCTGTGTTAACCGTATCAATGGCATGGCAAGTTTAGAGAAGTCTTTTACAAATCTGCGGTACTAGCCAACAAACCCCAGAAAACTTCTGATTTCGGACACATTGGTTGGTCATGGCCAGTCCACAATGGCCTCAATTTTCTGTGGATCCACCAATATGCCGTCTTTGTTGATTACATGTCGCAAGAATGCTACACTGTCAAACCAAAACTCACATTTGGAAAGTTTTGCATACAACTTCTTCTTTCTTAGAATCTATAAGGCAATTCTTAGATGGCTTTCATGTTCTTCCCTGCTTCTAGAGTAAATCAGTATATCATCAATAAATACAATGATAAATTCATCAAGGAATTGTTTGAAAACCCTGTTCATTAGGTCCATAAATGCTGCAGGCACATTAGTTACCCCAAATGGAATTACCAAAAACTCATCGTGCCCATATCTAGTTCTGAATACAGTTTTTTGTATGTCTTCTGCATTAACTTTTAGCTGGTGATACCTAGATCTATGGTTTTTCTTAGAGAACATTTGTGCTCCTTGAAGTTGGTCAAATAAGTCATCTATTCGGGATAGTGGGTATTTGTTCTTGACAGTCACTTTGTTCAATTTCCGATAGTGTGTACACAGCCTCAAAAATCCATCTTTCTTTCTGACAAACAAAACTGGAGCACCCCATGGTGAAGTGCTTGGTCAGATAAACCTCTTATCTAACAGTTCTTGAAGTTGGCTTTTCAATTCTTTCAGTTCTGAGGTTGACATTCTATAAGGGGTTTTGGAAATAGGTTGTGTCCCAGGTAGTACATCAATAGTGAATTTAGTTTCTCTATCAATTAAATTCCTAGGTAATTCATTTGGAAAGACATAAGGGAATTCGCAAGAAACAGGAATAGTTTCCACATTAGAACTAGCAGAAGTCTCAATCAGAACACAACACATATAGCCCCTACATCCATTCTTAAGCAGTTTAACAGCTTTCATGGCAAAAATCAAGTACGGTGGAGGAACTACCCCATTTCCAACAAACACAAACTCAAGTAGATCGGGTGAACGAAACACAACAGTTTTATTCACACAATCAATAGTTGCACAGTACTTCGGCAACCAATCCATACCCAATATGCAGTCAAAATGATCAATTCCCAATGGTAATAAATCAACATACAACATCATGTCACTGATCATAACATCACATGCTGGATAAACATATATGCACATACCATAAAACCCCCAGTTGGTATAGATATAGACAACAAATAATTCATAGGTTCTAATGGTCTAGTTAATTTTCAAGAAAAGGCATGTGACACAAACGAGTGTGTAGAACCATACTCTATCAAGACATGCATTTTGGGCACAGATGGAAATTATACCTGACACCACAGACTCAGTATTCTGTACATCCCCTGGCACCAGTGTGAATACTCTCCCTTGCCTTAATGTTTCATTTTCAGTATTACCTCTGGCATTAGTTCTTGCATTTGATCTTGTTACGAAGGCAGATCCGGCTGAACTTGCTACGGGGCGGTTGGCATTTTTGGACCCCAGTGGACAATCCTTCATTTTATGGCCGAGTTTGCCACACCGATAACAAGCGCCAAATGCACAATAATACACTCCTTTATGTTTCCTTCCACAATTTGGACAGTTTGAAATAGATCCACTACTCTGACTAGAGCTACTAGAGGATCCCGTGTTTTGCTTCTTTGAAAATGACCGACCCTTCTTGAAATTGAATCCAGACCTTTTACCTCGCCATTCAGTTGTTAGAGCCTTAGCTTGTTTCTTGGCTACCAGAATGGCCTCTGCCATCAATGCTCTATCAAGTACTTCCACATATGTAGACAACTTCAAAATTCCTACTCGATCAAACACCTCCAAATCTAATCCCCCCTCGAATTTCTGAGCCTTCTTATAGTCTGTGTTGACCATATGAGGAGCAAACCTAGCTAACTCAGTAAACTTAGCCTCATACTCGGCTACGGACATCTTACCTTACTTAAGTTCTTGGAATTCAGAAACCTTTCGATCTCAGAAGTAGTGAGGAAAGTACTTATCGTAGAAAATCTCATTGAATTGAGCCCATGTCATGTTCCCATTACTATTTTGGATTAGCAACCACCATCTCTGGGCTTCATCGTTTAGGGTATAGGTGGCCAATAAACTTTCTACGTCTCGAAGCAAGGAAAAACTTCAAATAATTTCTCCATTTCAAGTAACAATGTCTCTGCGTTTAAGGGTTCAATACCACCCAAGAAAGTCGATGGCTTCGTCTTCATGAACTTTTGAGTTAGATTTATAATATCATTGTTATCCGGCTCAACTTGGATCGGAGGGGGCGGAGGAGGCAAAAGTTGTTGTCTTTGCTACTATATCATTGCTTCAGTTAGGGCTGCAAGCATTTGTTCCATTCGGCTCATGCGAGCCTCTGAGGATTCAATTGTACTGTCATTTCTTGTGTTTTCCATTTGCTATAGGTAACAAAGCAAAAATAAACATAGACAAGTAATTCCTTCCACATTGTTCGAGGTATTCAGTTTTAGTGCATTTATTTCAATTGTGTGAGTTCATGTTCAGATTCAGTTTCCATAGTTATAGAAATTAACTCACACGCTCACATATGCAAGTGAAATGTCCCTACTTCTTTTCTAGAACGTCCTATAGCTCATATGGACTTGTGTGTGTGGTGTAACTCGTGTTCTGATACCACTCTATCACGACCCAAACTCGCCCCTACAGGTTTAGTGTCATAACCGGCTAGTAATCCTCAGATTACCGAAGGCCTCTGACCTGATTAGCAAAATATAAAGGGCTAGCAAAAGTGAACATAGAAAAATACATAGTCCATTGAGCTGTATAGACATACATGAGACAGAAATTTGAAAACTTATAATATACATAGGCGTGATGTCATAAATACAGTAGTCTATGTCACTTTCGTTACAGATAAAGCAAAAGGGGACCGAGCCCAATATACAAATAAACAAGAAACTTGTTCTGAATCCAAAAGTAAACAAAGCCTTTTACGTTCACAAAATAGGACCACAAGACAATCGGAACCTCCTCAAGAGGCACAAAGCCTGGCTGACAAACCAAAACTCCAGATTATCAATTCTGAGTCTGGTCACGGGCCTAGTCACCTACATACATAAATAATAGAGTGAGCTGGAGCCCAGTGAATAATAACAAAGTAAAGGTTTTAATGAATGATGTCCAGAACAGATTCCACTCCTTTTATCATATCATATACATAATCATATTCGTGTATCAGAAACAGAATCATGGTCATATTCATATTCAAATCATGCATGGTACATCCATTAGCATTAACATATTCTTATGGTCAAGCATATCAAGTTCTATAATGGAACCTCCAGTACCGGGTAACATATCTTACACATAGGCCACAGTATTATTCCCCCAGGCAAGGGCCTGACCATGGTATTATTCCCCCAGGCGAGGGCCTCATGACCATAAGCCACAGTACTATTTCCCCTGGGCCAGGGCCTCTGCTAAGGATACCACATAAACATGTCAAAGAAGTGGATCATCATTCATGTAATCATAGTATATTCTTTTGTATCGTTAAAACATTTCATATCGTACCATAATGTTCAGAAAGTAATTTATAATGAACATAGTTTTGCTAAGTTATTACTCACAATAATTGCACAGATGGCGTTGGTAGTAACCAATAGATCAACAACTCACGGCACGTGACCTACACGAACATAACAGATTCATAGATTGAAACACACGCTTGGACAGTGCTTAACCTATTTCATTTCGTTCTTAGTGTGTTTCTAGCCCTTAACCTCATTATTATGCCTTAATCATGGCCTAAAAATGCCTAGGATGCAATGAGGATGCTAAAATGCACTTGAAAACACTTAAGCAAACATGCTGAAAACAGGGGCCTTACTCAAGTGCAACTTCCTTCACTCGAGCGGGCATCCAAACATGTGAGAGGTCGCTCAAGCGCAACTTCCTTAGCTCAAGCGGTCTGTAAACTCAACAAAAGTACTGGTTTTGTGAATTTTTCGCTCGATGGTCGCTCGAGCGTGAAACTGAGGTCCTCGCTTGAGCACAACTATTGTCACTCGAGCAGTCTACAAAACATGAAAACTTCTAGGTGCATGCATTTTACACTCGAGCCACCTTTTGGTCACTCAAGCAGGAGTGCCAAAGAAAGGATGGTCGCTTGAGCGGAGAGCATAATTCTGGAATTTCCAGATTGCACTCCCATGTTCAAAAGTCAAAGTCAAAGCTTTAAAATACATCCTTTGGGCCTCGAAACTTGAGAAAACATGTCTAAACTTGTCCAACATCATGAATTCAAAACTATTTCACCAAATTAAGGCCCAAAAGCTTGCTAATTACTCAAAATTCAACTTGAAACTTAAGAATATGATGTGAACATAACATGCATGAATTGTCATGACTTTTAACCTTTCAAATCATGATCTAACAAGGTTAAATGGAATGAAACTTCATGAATTTTCAAATCTAAGGTGAAATAATATCATGTATGAGGAAAATTCTTGGAAACAACTTCAAAATGCATGAAATGTACATGCATGCATGATTTAACTTAATTCCCTTAATTCTAGCTCAATTCTTGTAATTTATCTCCCAATTCCCATGAATGCTACTATTAGCTATTTCAATTACATAATTAAAGAGTTGAGTCCTTACCTTAGCTTCTCAATTGAATGCTAGATAGCTAATTGTTTAAGTTTCCAAGCCAAAACCCCAAGTTCTTCTAATTTCCCACAATCCTCTAGTTGAATTCAACTCTTCCTTCTGACTCTCTTTCTCTCTCATGTTTGAGCTCAAAAGATGAGGGAATGAGAGTGTAAAGTGTATAGGAAGTGCTAGGGGTGGCCTTATATAGGCTTGATTAGGGAGTGTAATCAATGACTAATTAAGTGACATTAATTATTCTAATTGAATTCATTCTGAATCGCATTTTAATTAAACCTACTATAAAATTCTAAAAATTCCAACTTACACATAATTCAAGTCAATTTCGTGATCAAATGTCGATAAGGCCTTCAATTTGCAGAACCAAACAGAAACACAAACATATATTCCTATAGCAGACAAATATAAACACACATAATGCATTGCATATGTAATTAACTCAGGATTTCATCTTAATTACTTATTAGGCATACTTAATCATGGCTTAACAATTAATCATGGGTCGGGGCTGTTACAGGGTTGGTGTAGGGTAAGGTGGTATTGTTATCATACTAAGAAGTGGGTTAGATGAATCGGTGTCCTTAGTACACCTTTAAGAATTCCTTATCAGGTCATTGGAAGTTAATAGTATTTGTGTTTAGGGTAGTTAATAGTAGTTGGCGTGCAGTGACTTGAGTTTCTTTTATAGAAAATTATTCCTAGTTTACTGAGGGCAGTTAGTTTTGTTTTATGGTGGTTGCTTTTAATTATGGATTCACTTTTGTTTTGGATTGGCAGTATACAGAAGTGTGTTGATATGGTCTATTGTGTGTTTCCTATACTGAAGGTAGGGTTCATTTTGCAACTATTGTCCTCGGAATAGGATTATTTTGTATTTGTGCGGTGAGGGTTATGAACTCGAGATGTTGATATCTTGTTTGATTAGAATTGGGAGATATGGTAGTTGTACTAGGGTGGCTCATTTCATAGGTATATTTTGAGTTGGGTGGCAGTGAGGCGTTAAGAGATTTAAGAGGAAGTTTTGGAAGTAATTATAGAGCTGAATATGTGTGTAGACACCTCATTTTTGACTGCCCTTAAGACTTGGGCGTTACTGATGGTTTTCTTTGGTGGTGAAAGATGTGCAGGCTATGTTATGCAAAAGGTCGGTTTCTTTGGCAAAGAGAGCGTCAAATCCAAACCTCACACCCTATTGTTGGACCAAAAGATTTTGCAACTTAAAATCCTCTCTTTCAAAATATTTTTGAAATAAAGTTCCTACGATGTTCTGAGGCTCACATTTTGTCAAATGATGCGATTTTCGGTAAACTGAGCAAGGACAAAGTGGAAATGAATGAAATAGAGATGAAGTCTTTGAAAAATCTTTCAAAACACCTTGTTTGAAGGTTCGGAGTTGAAGAAAAGAGGAGTGGAGAGAAGAAACTTAGTTGAGAAAGAAGTTGGGCATGAATCGCTAAAGAGAGTCGGGCAGTCCTCGGTAAATCAGGTTTATCTATCTATGCACTCTAACTTAAGCTATGAGGCCACCACTGTTGGAAAGAAGACTTTTGGGGCTTCGTTTTGCACTCAAGAATATCCTAAGGCCGAGTCCGGATGGGGGAGATATGATTGGTTGAAGTTGGGCATCATCCCGGTTGGACTGAAACAGAGCAACCTTCACCAAAACAAGCATAACTTTTTGCATAGTTGGAATTTTGATGTAAGGCTAGTGCCAGTGGAAATCTTACTTCCGGGGTTTCAATTTGGACACAAGAATGACCTGAAAAGGAGTTCACATGAAGGAGTTATGCCCGTTTGAAGTTGGACCTGCAGAGCAGATTTTTCCTGCCGACCGACCAGAACAGATGGCCGACCGACCAAATAGATGGCCGACCGACCAGCTAAAGTAGCCAGCCAACCAATTTTGCTAGCCGATGACCTTCCGGGGTATTCTACAGATTGAATGGATGCCAACTGTGCCAGCTGGAGGGCACAGACTGAATCCTCCATACACGTGTATGGAGGATCTTTGCTCTTGGTTTGAAGTTTCTAAGAGAAGCTTTAGTCTCTTGGCTCTATAAAGGAAGGCTCCCCTCTCCTTTGCCATGGTTCTGAATTTTCAGAGGCTCATACACACACACTCCTCCATATCTCTCTATTCCAAGCTCCAAAAAAACCCTTGTTCTTGGTCCCATTGCACTACACCTCATAGCCTATCACCTCCACCACCCTTTCCAGCACCTTGAAGTTGATTTTTAGAGGTTGAGAGCTCACCATCTTGGTCCAGAAGCTATTGCATTGCTGTG